AATCAAAAATATTAGCCAGGTGTGGTGGCACACACCTGTAGTCCCAGCTACTGAGGAGGCTGAGGCAGAAGGATTGCCTGAGCCCAGGAGGTCAAGGCTACGGCGAGCCGTGATCATGCTGCTGCATTCTAGCCTGGGTGACAGAGTGAGACTCTGACTCAAAAAAAAAAAAAAAAGTGTGACTAATATTTTTGCAGCTAAGTAACATTTTCTGTTTTCTAATATCTTTTTTTTTTTTTTGAGTCGGAGTCTCACTCTGTCACCCAGGCTAGAATGCAGCAGCATGATCACGGCTCGCCGTAGCCTTGACCTCCTGGGCTCAGGCAATCCTTCTGCCTCAGCCTCCTCAGTAGCTGGGACTACAGGTGTGTGCCACCACACCTGGCTAATATTTTGATTTTTTTGTAGAGATGAGGTCTGGCTATGTTGCCCAGGCTGATCTTGAATTCCTGGGCTCAAGTGAACCTCTCACCTTGGCTTCCCAAAGCGCTGGGATTATTGGCGTGAGCTACTGTGCCTGGCTCCAGTGACCCTTGGAAGTCAGTTTCTGTTGCTGGAGCTACAATTGCAATCCCTTCTCTGGCGATGTGGACTTTTCCTCACTGGTCATTCTCCAGTGTCCCATCTATATCCAGTCCTCCCCACTCACACTTGTCAGTTCTGCCTCTGCTGTGGGAGGCTGGCATCCAAGAGCTGCGCACCCCCCCCACTCCGGTGAGCTTCTGTGCTGTATTTTTTATTTTTATTTTTTTTGAGTTGGAGTCTCCCTCTGTCGCCCAGGCTGGAGTGCAGCGGCCGGTCGGCCACCGCAGCCTCGACCTGCCGGGCTCCGGCGATCCTTCCACCTCAGCCTTCCAAGTAGCCGGAACTACAGGCGTGCGCAACCGCACCCGGCTAATTTTTTGATTTATTGTAGAGACGAGGTCTCGCCAAGTTGCCCAGGTGGGTCTTGAGCCCGCGGGCTCAGGCCATCCACTCCCCTCAGCCTCCCAAGGAACGGGATGACAGGCTGAGCCACCGAGCCCGGCTTTTTTTTTTTTTTTAATAGATTGTGTTTTTGGTGTCAAGTCTAAGGATTCATCACCACCATCATTATTTTGAGTTGGCGTCTCACTTTGTCACCCAGGCTGGGGTGGCATGACATCTCTCACCACAGCTTTGACCTCCTGGGCTCGGCCGATCCTTCTGCTTCAGCCTCCCAAGGTGGTGGGACTACAGGTATGTGCCACCGTGCTTGGCTAATTTTTAAATTTTTCTGTAGAGATGAGGTCTTGCTAGGTTGCCCAGGCTGGTCTCAAACTCCTAACCCAAGCAATCCTCCTATCTTGGCCTCCCAAAGAGCTGGGATTACAAGTGTGAGCCACCGCACCCAGCCCTGCATTTGTTTTGGCCATGGCTGCATTCCTCAGCCATTCTGCATACGTCCTGGTGGGTGGCTCCCCTGCCATGACTACACCACAAGGGGAGAGGCCTCAGACACCAGAAACCAGCCCACAGACACCTTGATCTGGGACCTCCAGCCTCCAGAACTGTGAGGAAATCAATGTCTGCTGTGGAAGCCGCCCAGTCTGTGGTACAGTCCTGGCAAATTAAGGCCCCAGGTCAACAGCCCCTTCACTAAACTGCTCAAGCAGCATTGGGAGCGAGCTGTCTGGATCCCTGCAGAGCTTTCCTCATCCACCCAGCATTCCAGTAGTGCCATCCCATGCTCTTTCACCAATCCCGTGGTTATCTACCATCGCACCTCTGAGTTTGGAAATTTGCCCACACACATGCCATGCATTCCTTTTTTACTGACAGACTACAGGACTCACTTCCACAAATAAGGCGCTTACACGGAAAGGGTTTCTAGCAAGATGCCTGTGCGACTCTCCACCGTGCACTGAATCCTGTAATGTCTAGACGAGTCCTTCCACCTCTTCAAGTCAGCTTTGGCTCTGGAGCCAGCACGGGCCACGCCTGAAGCCCAGAGTGTCTCTGATAATGTGGGGTGAGGATTTCTGCTGTGGTGGTGGCGGCTGGGAGTGCCGCTGACCCAGGAGAAGCCCAGGCGAGACGCGCTGGAACGGTGAGGGGGTAGCTGGAACTCAGGGCCATCTAGAAGGGAAAAATGAAACTTGGGAGAGTGAAAACATCAAAGGAAGCCGCCTAGTTAAGTGTATTTCAATGATACAGAAAAGCATAAAATCAGAGGGCGGGGTGAGATTCATGGAGGCCTCCCAAGTTCACTTCCCTCTGCCTCCGTGCAGACATCCCCATGGGCTACACATAATAAGTTCTTTAGTCTCCAAAGTCTCACAAACGTTTCCTTTGAACATCCAGATAGGAAGATATTCACAAGCTCCATTTTACAGAGAAATGAAACCGAGGGACGGGCAGCTGAGTGACAGCCCCCAAGCTAAAAAGTGTCACAGCTGAACCAGGAGACATGGGACTGTTAACCAGGAGAGTGTTAGGATGCTGTCTGTATTCATCCTCTCCAGGAAACTGCGCATGCACACATGCTCTCTAAAGCAGCGAACGTCACGGGTTGGCATGCCAACCAAAACTCACAGTAGGAAAGGCTCTCTCCTCGACATCTGGCCGTGAGCAGGAAAGGAAAAAGAATGGAGAAAGAAATAATCCGAGCTGGCTTGCAGGGAGAGAGAGCGATGGGCTCTTTAAAGTTGGCCCTTATCTTGAGTCCAACCGCGCAGAGCCCGGACACCACAATGCCTTCCTGTCCCTGCACACTTAGCGGCAAGTCATAGGAGTCATGTCATCACAAGGATGCCCCTGGGTTTGTCTTCTGATGCCGCGGCAGCTATATTTGCAAGACATGAGGCTTCTATGAATCTGGGAACAGCCTGCTTAGACTCTCATGGACTCGGGGGTGGCGTCCACCATTCACTGCCCTCTAGCCATCTCTTCCAGCACCCACAAGGATGCCCAATGCCTTCCCGAAGGGCCCTCTGTAGTTCCCCCTTAAGTCTAACCTGTCCTTCAAGGCCCACCTTCTCCAAAAAGCATACTTGTCTTTATCCTTGGGGATTTCTCCTGCAGCTAGATTCCTGAAGCCATTACTTTTAAGTCCCCGACTTAAGGCTGAACGTATGTCCTCAGGCATATTCATTTCTGAGTATTAATTTTTTTTTTTTTGAGACAGGGTCTCTCTCTGTCACCCAGGCTGGAGTGTAGTGGTTTGATCATAGCTCCCTGCATCCTGGAACTCCTGGGCTCAAGCGATCCTCCTGCCTTGGCTTCTTGAGGAGCTGAGACTACAGACCTATAACCAGACCCATAACCAGGCCTGGCTGATTATTTTTTTTAAATTTTTTTGTAGAGGCAGGGTTCTGCTATGTTGCCCAGGCTGGACTCATACGTCTGGCCTCGAGTGATCCTCTGCTTAGGACTCCCAAAGTGCTAGGATTAGACGTGAGCCACTGCACACAGCCCATTTCTGAGTGTAATTCTTTGTCTCCCAGTGACACTGCAAGCTCCTTGCAAGGAAAGCGAAATCTTACACATACTTCACTGAACCAACAGGTACCTGCCTACAGTAGATCCAGGCATGTTTGTTTGCTGTTTTTTCCAGGAAAGAGTGGGCAAAACCAGGGTTACAGTAGCAAGTTGTCAGCATTCGAGAGGAAAAGGGGAAGAGATGGGCATAAATCTTCTTTCTTCATTTAAAGTTCTCTGTGTGTGTGTGTGTTTGTGTGTGTGTGTGGTGTGTGTTTTGAGTAGGAGTCTCACTCTGTCCTCCAGGCTGGCGTGTAGTGGCACATTCATGGCCACCGCAGCCTCGACCTGCTGGGCTCAGGTGATCCTTCCGCCTCAGCCTTCCAAGTAGGTAGAACTACTGGCGTGCACCACCACACCCAGCTAATTTTTCTTGTATTGTAGAGACAGGTCTCATCAAGTTGCCCAGGCTGGTCTCGAACCCCTGGACTCAGGCAATCCTCTCGCCTCGGCCTCCCTAAGTGCTGGGATTACAGACTTGAGCCACCGCGCCCTGCCTTCAGTGTGTTTTACTCTATCCTGTAGAGTAAGCATTTTCAGTGTTGTTTCAAGATCTGCATAAAGCAAGAGCATACACGGAAACGGTCCTGTGTGCTCTTTGAGTAACCATGAAGATAAAATAATACCTGCTGAAGGAAGGGAAAACCTAGCTCTCTGTGCTTCAAGAGTGGACTAGCCACACCTCACCTGTAACAGTTTCAAGTTTAATCCTATTACGCTGCAACGCTTACCTGTCACTGCATTTAAGGAACCCCTGAGCCCCCAGGCGGTTCACAGGCCCAGGCAGGCTCCACACGCCCCTCCTTTCTCCCTGTGTTGGGTCCCAAGGCCTCCTCCCTGCTCCCCTCTCCTCTTGGTAGCTGTCACCACTGATCCAGACTATGGGGTTTCTCTGCCCTCCAAGATCTGTCTCTCTACGTCCACCCTTCCTTGTTGTCCTGGAAAACAAGCTTATAGACCCTCTTCATTTTATGACTTTATTTTTACATTTTATCTGTTTATTTATGAGTCAGGGTCTCAGTCTGTTGCCCCAGACTGGAATTCAGTGGCACAATTACAGCTCACCACCGCCTCAACCTCCTGGGCTCAAGTGATCCTTCTGCCTCAGCCTCCTGAGTATTTGGGACTACAGGTATCTGCCACTATGTCCAGCTAATTTTTAAATTTTTTTTTATACATACGAGGTCTCACTATATTGCCCAGGCTGGTCTCAAACTCCTGGGCCCAAGCAAACCTCTCGCCTCAGCCTCCCAAAGTGTTGGGATTACACGTGTGAGTGACACACACTCGGCCTTCATTTTAAAACTTTAATGTCCATTATTATAAGTGGAAAGACTCGTGACCCGCCTGGGCGACTTGGCGAGACCTCATCTCTACAATAAATCAAAAACTAGCCAGGCGTAGTAGCGCGCACCTGTAGTTCCGGCTACTTAGAAGGCTGAGGTGGAAGGATCGCTGGAGCCCAGCAGGTCGAGGCTGCGGTGGCCGGGAGCGTGCCACGGCACTCCAGTCTGGGTGGCAGAGTGGGACTCCAACTCAAAAAAAAAATAAAATAAAATAAGTGGAAAGACAAGATTTAAGGATTTGGAAAGATAGGGAAGTTCTAAAAAAGGGTAAAGATCTTACAATCTACAATCTTGAATCTTGGTTGATAGCATCTACCTGTCACTAGACATTTCTTTTATACTGATGTTGGGGTTCACTAAACCATCTCCTTCCTACTGATCTTGGCTACCTCGTTGTGAATCCATCCTCACCTTCTTCCCCAAGAAAAGTCCATCTACTCAGCACATAGACTTTATTTTATTTTTATTTTTTATTTTTTTGAGTTGGAGTCTCAGTCCTTCGCCTAGGCTGGAGTGCAGTGGCACGCATGCTCACGGCCACCCCAGCATCGACCCGCTGGGCTCCGGCGATCCTTCCGCCTCAGCCTTCCAAGTAGCCTGGAAATACAGACGCACGCTACCATGCCCCGCTATTTTTTGTTTTATTTTATTTTAGTGTAGAGACAAGGTCTCACCAAGTTGCCCGGGCTGGCCTCAAACCTGCGGGCTCAGGCAATCCACTTGGCTCAGCCTCCCAAAGGGTTGGGATGACAGGCTGAGCGACTGAGCCCGGCCAGAACATAGACTTTAACAACAAGGAGCCTCTTAGCAGGATGTCTGAACCCTACCTTCAAGTGGTTTATTTAACTTCTGAGCACCTCAAGACTAGGGACCTCTATCCTATACTACTATCCTATATTGGATTCTTCCCTAAAGGGTGTTTTCCTATGGCTCCTCAGTAATTATTTTATTTTATTTCTGTTTTAAAAAATAATTAAGTTTGTTGGAAGGGTGCAGTGGCCCATGCCTGTAATCCCAGCACTTTGGGAGGCAGAGGCTTGCTTGAGCCTGGGAGTTCAAGACTAGCCTGGGCAATACAGACAGACCTTGTCTCTACAAAAAATAAAAATAAAAACAGCTGGGTGTGGCAGTGCATGTCTGTAGTGCCAGTTACTCAGGAGGAGAAGTGAGAGGATTGCTAGAGCCCAGGAGTCTGAGGCTGTGGTGAGCCGTGATGGTGTTCCCCATACTCATCTGGGCTAGGTGATGGAGTGGGACCCTGACTCAGAAAAATAAATAAAATAATTAAGTTTATTTTTGAATAAGTTACTTATTTACATAGTTCAAAGATACAAAAGAGCTTAGTGAAAAAAATCTCCCCACCTCATCGCCTAGCCTCCCAGTTCCCTTCCTCAAGGTTACTGATTATGTTGTGTCTCCTTCCAGAGATATTGTGTGTGTGTGTGTGTGTGCATGCAAGCAAATGTACACATAAAATTCAAATCTATTGCCCCCTCTCCTTTTGTATACAAAAGGAGAGCATACTATAAACACCACTGCTTCTTGTTCACTATATACCATTGGTACCAAAAATGTATGCACATTTTTTTTTTTGAGTTGCAGTCTCACTCTGTCGCCCAGGCTGGAGTGCAGTGGCACACTCACAGCCATTGCAGCCTCGACCTGCTGAACTCAGGCAATCCTTCCGCCTCAGCCTTCCAAGTAGCTGGAACTACAGGCGTGTGCTATCACGCCCGACTAATTTTTTGATTCATTTTAGAGACGAGGTCTCACCAAATTACCTAGGCTGGTCTCGAACCCCTGGACTCAGGCAATCCACTCACCTTGGCCTCCCAAAGTGCTGGGATGACAGGTTTGAGCCACTGCGCCCGGCCTAAATGTACACACATTTTAAGCGATGTTATCTATGTATTACTTTCCAAAGTTGAATTGGATTATGGTAGCAATGTGTCGCATGATGCTCACTCAAAAGATGGTGTAGATCAAATGAATGCTAGCGTCACCATGCGACAGGCAGGACAGTCCGAGAAAATGGCAGAGGCATGGTTGTTCTTTGAGGAGTGCAAGAACACCATTTTGAAATGGTGTTTGAAATTCGAGAACATTGTGGTAGTATGACAATGGAAGCGTGACTGTGTAAAATAACCTCCAACGCGCTTAAAAACTGCACACATTCTTAGTAAGTTTGAGATGCGTGGTCCTGTGTGTGACGTGCACAAGGGAAGATCCGGGAGGCCTTGCATCTCAACAAGCCCTGCTGTAGATCACCATAATCAGAAGTGTCTGGACGCTGGTGGTGACCACTTTGAGCATCACTGCAAGTGCAGAAGTCAAACAAGACTTGTATTCATCTGTTTTTATTGGCATATGTTGAGTATTACAATTTTAATACAGGTTTTTTTTCCTTTCTTCTTCTTCTTCTTTTTTTTTTTTTTAGTTGGAGTCTCACTGGGTTACCCGGGCTGGAGTGCAGTGGCATGTTCACGGCCACAGCAGCCTCGACCTGCTGGGCTCAGGCGATCCTTCCGCCTCAGTCCTCAAGCAGCTGGAATCACAGGTGCCTGCCACCATGCCTAGCTAACTTTTTGATTTATTGTAGAGACGAAGTCTTGCCAAGTTGCCCAGGCTGGTCTCAAACCTCTGGTCTCAGGCAATCCTCTTGCCTCGGCTTCCCAAGGTGCTGGGCTTACAGGCTTGAGCCACCGTGCCTGGCTAGCTTTTTTTTCCCTTTCTTA